ATCGTGTTTGATGAAGACGTCTTTTGCGGCGGCTCTCTGGTAGACGGCGTAGGTGGAATTAACGGCGATGCCAGGGTCAATTAGGACAATGTACTTCATGCCGGAACTGTGGATTTTGTTGAGAAATGACAGAAGGGCAGGACGAGGGTAGCTGATGGGACTGAGAGTGAAATCTTTGTGGCCGTCCATGTGATCGTCGTCGTTCCAGATCACGTCCAGAGGGATTTTGGCCTTTTTGTAATTCTCGACCACGTCTTCCACGACGGACAGATTCCGGTAGCCCCAGCGGCACTGGTGAAACCCTGCAATTCAAATTATTCCAACCAAACAACATTAAAGATTTTGTTTCCTCGTACTGTGTCGGTCACTTCACTGGTAAATAAATCATTTCTCTCTACAGTTTTTATTTTTAAAATAAAGTTGTATGATAATTGATAAATGGAGGAAGTACACAACGCTGAGAAATATGAATGTTCATCCGCAATTATTGGTTGGGGACCTTGGGGTCGGGGCTTGTTTTAAAAATATTATTTATTGGAAAATATGTAGCAGGGTTCTAAACTTCTAGAACAGATTGTGAGGTTCACCCTGTTAACCTTATTATCTAAATTTAAAAATAGAAGTACTAGACTGTGAGGGACTATCTTTACTAATAAAAGAGATAAATGTAAAATCGGTTTTAAAATAATAATAATAATAGGTCAACGGTAAGAAGACTCACTAATGAGTAGTAAAATATTTTTTATTTAAAAACATGTATAGATTGTAAATTCAAATTCCCAACCGATATTCAATTTCTGCCTTCTTCAATAGAAATATCAAGGTCTAAATTTCTTACTCACTCTTTTTATTATTATTATTTTGATGGCATCACACTTCGAGTGTAGAAACTCAGCATTTCGTTCAATAAATGTGTAAACTAAGCCACAGTATATTTGTAGGTATTGGCCTACAACATTTATTCCCTTCACATGTTGCTATGATTCCATCCAAAAAGATAAATAAATAAAATCCACTAAGGACCATTCCCTTTCCCTTTCCCTTTCCCATTAACCTCCAAACCAAACCCACTCCTTCCCTCATCCACATGACATATCAAACAAAACCCAATCACTTTCTTTTCTTCTTCATCCCAACAAAACTCATCATTTTTATCCCAAAAATCTTGCTAACTGGTCGGTGGGAGATTCCTATTCCCCACCAATAATTTTTTGCGACAAGTGGAAATGCATGGAAGGAGAGAGAGAAAAAAAAACTTCTTATTTATAAAAAATAAATAAAATTTCCTATTAAATGGAAGTGTGGAAAATACTTAGTTGGGTAGGACTTTGAGAGGGGAATGAATAAAGGGAGGAAAAAGATATTTCAGTCTCTATAAAAAAAATATCGTCCAATTTTCAGTGATAATTAGAAAATGATTGGTCACTAACTAACAAAAACATATACATTTTGTTTAGGATAAAATTTGGCTCTTACTGCTGAAGAGTAATCTTCTCCACATCACCTTTAAATATTCAACAACTCAGAGACAGAAATGCAAAAACAAAAATTTAACTTAAAAAATAATGAGTTGTCAAATATTTAATAGTGGTGTTGACAAAGAAGCCAAGTTTTATCATTTTCTTTACAATTAGGAATGTGAAAAAAAAAGATGATTTTTTAAAATAAATGGTAAATTTTTTAATAATGATCAGCATAAAATTTGTTAAAGACCACGCGTACCCTAAAGTATAATTCTCACGACTTTTACTTTTGTTGTACCCAAAAAATTACAAACCAATAGAAATAATTATCCTTATTATCATTCGACAATGTCAGATTTTGTTTCCATTCTCCCTACGACCCTAATAGAAATAATCTAACTAGATCTATCAATAAGCAAAACTATAGTTAAAGCCTAAGGTGAACACTATCTTTGTGTTAACTTCTTAATTATTTAAAAAGCAGAAAAAAAATATATAGATATATATTTTTTACGTTTAAAAATTTAATTCCTTCCATCCACTTAAGATGGGAAAAACTGCAAAATTGCGTAATTAATGGG